CCTACACGAATACAGATGCAGAAATATACTTGAGTTCATAAATCCCTATATAGTAGCTTACCGTTACATACCTGGATCATGCAGGCAACGGAATGAATTTTAAGATTGTTGAACAGACCGCATAAAATGGCAATATATACAATGCCAAAATTTGGCTCTCTTTATTTATTCATTTACTTGTTCTTCGTCAGTCTCTCTAGTATATTTATATACATACATGCATATACAGTATTGAACCTTGATCATATTGGCATCCGATGATCATCATGTACTCCCTGATAAATGATACAAGTTATAATTTGAACTGATTTTTCAGAAAGATCAGGGCTATTCATTGCTCTGTTATACCCCTCCTTTCACCATATGCCAATCAGAACACTGATTTAGCTGGGAATCACATCAGCACTGGCAACTTTAGGAAAGAACATGAGCATCCCAAGGATTCTCTACAGAATATAGATGAACCTCTATTGCTATGCCCATTTAGTAATATGTCTACTAGGTCCATGGATTCAGCGCTTCCTTCTCCTGCTAAGTACTCTTCTATGGACCTCTCATTTTTACTCCTGTATTTTTTTTTTTAAATTCAATCAATCATGGCCCTGATTATCATGCTGCAATGCCATAGCGGCCAACAATAAACAGACATAGCTTATATCATTTCAACTGGCATGTAACAACACAATCCTATCTGGTTTCCCAAACTAGGTGGATGTTCACGAGACAAATCACCACAAATAATCCAGGGAGACAAGTTGTCTTCTCCTAAATTGCGGGACATGCTCCCACTCCCACTGATGCAGATGGAGAGCACGGTTCCCAGGCGGAAACTACTCCTTAAATTGTGCAGGATGGAGACTTATTCAGCTGCTAGAATTCTTATCAGCTCTTATCTATTTATTTCAAAATTATGTTGCTAAGTTGTTAATTCTTTCCTAATTTATTTCGGTAAGACTGTGTTGCTATGTTGGCAATCCTTTCCTAGTTTAATTCATGATTTATAGCACCCTATGTAATCCTTTAAATATGGTAGTGATAGAGGAAAAAGGCAGTTATTGATTTTTTTTTTTACACTATTGAATTTGAGAATGAAGAGATTACATTAATAGAGAGATTCTGATTGTATTTTATTTCTTCTTGGCCGTCAACGTGAGGTTGGCTCTTGAGGTTTGCACCACCCACTGTATCGCCTTATTAATTAAATCAAGATAATAGGAACCTCCACATCACACACATAATTGCCAAATCATGAACATGAAGTCTAGAGGAATTCTGCTAGCCATTCAAATTGCCTTATCAAATCCAAACATTGACTTGGTTATAATCATAAAAGAAATCAGAAACCATTATCATTAGATAAGCTAATCACACTAGTATAGGATATCATCTAATTCATTCTTGTTTCCTCTTTCATTTCTAATTATATGACAGTCTTTCAACATTGGAAAATTAATCACCCCTTGTGATGTAGAACAGTCTACAGGAGGAGAGGAAGAGCAGATCGCAGGAGGAAGAGCAAATTGCAGGATATAATATAAATGCAGAGAAATCAGGAACTACAGTTGCCATTGGAGTATTCTTGCAGCAGATTGCCTCCTTATTTAGGAGTCCTAATTAATGTCGTAATATCAGGATTTATTTACTTTTCTAGCTGTAGTATTTGTTTTCTTTATTCTAGTTATTTCTTTCCTAAACAATTATATTCCTAGTCGAATTAGGACTTGCAGCCTATATAAAGGCTGCCTCTTTTCATTGTAAGGTACTTTTTAATTTCAACAAAGAACTTTCTCTTGGAAAATTTTAATTTTTAAACTCGTGGATTCGAGTATAAATTTCTGGTTCGAGGATTCGAACAATTTTACCCGGAAACAGGCGGCGTCCTATTTCTACAGAAGCTTCCGCTACGTCATCCCTTTTTGTACATTGTTTGTGGGATTTCTTTTTAACATGTGGAATATTTGTTTATACGTTAACATCATATATATCTTGGAATTGAAAATTGATAAGAACATTTTGCGTTTAAATTATGAAGAGTGATAGTTCTAGGCCTAAAGCCATTAACATCTATAATTAATAGCAATTACGAATTCCAAAAATTGTACTATAGTCCTTTAATTGTGGTCAGCAAGACGTTTATATTTCACATCATTGAAATGAAAAAATAAAAAAAATTAAATTGATAAAAATAATATATTATAAATTTAGATTGAATGGTAAAATTAAAAATAAATAAAATTTTTATAAAACAAAAACCAAGCTATATAAACAAGAATCGTTGAAAACTAAGCTGTTATTTTCAAGAAAGGATAGATTAAAAAAAAAAAAACTCAACCAATGAGAAACCTCTTACTTACTATTAACATGCATCACCTCAAAAAATAATAATACTTTTAATAACACAACAAAAAAGAGATTTTTGATATTGAAAGTTATTGTATACATCACCCAAAGGTCACAAGGTGCCTCCCCCACGTACTAGCCACTTTTTGTTTTTTTTTAATTTATTTTATATTTTTGTTGTGATCAAATTATCTCCCTCAACTAACTTAATAATAACAAAAAAAATTATTGTTAAAATACAAAAAAAAACCTTTGAGACCAGTTTTAATTTTTTTATATTTTTAATAGTATTTTAATTGTTTTACTATAAAAAATTTTCTTTTATATTTAGTCAAATATTAATCTCTCCTTAGCTGCCTAATAATTATTAAAAAAACCATTATAAACATATAAAAAAACCCAGGCTAGTTTTTTTTTTTTTTTGCTTCAAATGTCATCTTAATAGTTTCATTATGTTTACAATGCAAACTTTGTTTTTGAAATGCGAAAAGACTTAATTATCTCTAATTACTTTGTTAATGACTAATTAGTCTTTAATTAGTCTTGTAAAAAGATTTAAATGGCCCTGATAAAGTTTTTAAAATGGGAAGAATAAAACTATAAAAACACTGTTCCAGTAATTGTTTTAGCTTTTGTTAATCAGCACATATCTACACGAAAAAGGCTGTAATTAACCTCAATGATATGGTTTGGTTCATGTATTTGGGTATAGTTCTACCTAACACAAACATGAATTTTAATTTGGAACTTACCCGTACACATTGCCATCAAAAAATCAAATCAAGCATTTTACTAGCGTTTAGCAATTAAAAAATACAGAAATGCATCTATATCCATGAGACACCTGCATCAAAAGGTGATCGCAGAACAACCTTCAGATTTTTATGATTCCACCAAGGAGAACAATGTATCAAACAAGTCTAACACAGTCCAATAAAATCATGAAAAACTACGATCAATGCACTGCATCCAAACAGAGAACACTCATCCATCTACAGTACAAGAGGCATGAGGAGAAATGCCACTATATTACCTTCAAGCAATTGCTAGTTCGATATTAGCAAAACCAACAAAGTGAAGTTTGATAGTTAAACTTGGGAAATTCCTCAAGCCAAACAAAGCCAATAAGTAGTGATCAGGAAATTGAAGAACTTGTAAGAACAGTACATCATCACATAAAAAGAAAAAATTAGGAACAAATGAAGCAACAATAGCTACAACGAAAACAATCTAGCTAGCTACAGGAAATGAAGTTTGGGGAGTAGATTGGAGCTCTAATAAAAGATGTTCAAATTACAAAAGCATGATTAGTATCTTCATCCTTCTCAGGTAATCAAGATTATCTACTATTGCATTCTTCGCTTTATAAAATTTTGTTCTTAGCTTTATAAACAATGTCGCACGTTACCTGCGTGGCATTTGTTGGCGATTTTTCATTTTGTTTACTTGGTTCTTTGAAAGTCGCCACTTAGTATTTAGTTTAGGATTACTAGGAAACCGAGTATAGTGGTTGTCGCACCCTCGCGAGCAGAGCGCGGCATCGTGGTGACCATCGATTGATTTCGGGGTCTTTTAGTTTTATTTTTGTGTAAAACGAGTCGCTACCTAGTATTATGGTCACTAGGAAACCTAACTGGTCTTTCAGAGATTCTAAGGCAAGGGAACTAGTTGCGTAAAGGGAAGGTGTTAGCACCCCTAGTACGCCCTACCTAAAGTAAGTTGTTTGGTATTTGGTTTGTTTTATAATTGCTATGGTGTTGGTGTTTTCTAATCCCATCAGTTTTTTTTCTCGATTTGATTCTAACTAAATTTATTAAGAAAGAAATCCAAGAAGATTCGATGTGTTGTACAAGCTCATTTTTTCCTTGGTATTTCAAGAATTTCCGACTCGTAAATCGCCAAGAGGAGGGACAAAAATTAGAAATCTTGAGTGCTTTAAAAATCTATTTTTGTCTTAGTGTTTTGTACTCTCACAGCTCGTAAACCATGGAGAGAAAAAAAAATTAAAATGTCCTCAATTATAATCGAGGCTTTTTTCAAGGATGTGTGCGGATTTATTATTTCTAAAAAATTATTTTGGATATTTACCACTCAAGTTTCTTTATCCAAATATTAATAATAAATAATAACAAATTATTTCCAATAATATTTTGGATATTTATCCTTTAAGAATTTCTTTATCCAAATAGTAGCCGTAAATAATAAATGAATTCTCTCTAAAATAAAATTTTTTATATTTTTTTAAAATATTAGCCAATACCCTTTGAAGTTTTACGATCATGTTGTAAAATTTAAAAACATAAAAAAATATTTTTTTATGTTTAAGAAATCCATGCAAAAACACATTTTTTAAAAATTTAAAATAATTAATACTCTTTTTTTATATAAACAAAAACATTCAAAACATCTTAAAGTATTAACTGTATTGTATGCAACGCACAAAAACACTTTTTATATTTTTCTTTATCAAAAAAAATAACAAATATCACCCTTAATCATAATAAAAATCAACAAAACATATAATAATCAAATTCTCAAGGTTTTAATAAATCAGTTATTAAATCTCAGAATATATATAAAAACATATTCTTATATTTTCATAAAAAATACAACATAATTTTATTTATCCTTCAGATACTTAAACATACACCAAATTAAAACAATAAATTTTTTTTGTCTTTTTAATTTTATAATTCAATTATGTATGTAAAAAAACTACAAACACGTATACACACACTCCTTTGTATTATGTTTTTCCATACACCCATATATAATCACATATAACAAAAAAAAATTAAATAAAACAAATACATCACACAAAATAAAAATAATTCCAAAAAAAAAAACAGCCCCAAAACAATCTGGAATTTACAGGGGAGGGCTTCTGGACCATAAAAAACACTGGCGGCCCGTCTCCTCCAAGCGCCACCGCAAACAAAATCTGTGATCATGTGGATCTGGCCTAACTTCTTCTCCTTTTCCTTTCCTCGCCAACGGTGACCTGCAAGAACCAAAAACGCAACAAAACAGTTGATTTTGCTTCTTTCTTTTTAGATCTATTTCGGTCTTCCCTCGTTTTGGATCTGTTTATTTTGCAGATCTGTTTTTTCTTTACCGGCGGCTGAGCTCCTGTCGTGTCTGCAGCGACCGGTTGCTGGTTCGGATCTTGGTGAGGACGAGGACCTGCAGGCTGCTAGGTAAAGTTCTCGGTGGCTAAGAGAGGCTTCGGTCAGAGGAAGAAAGGAACGGCTGGGGGGGGGGGCTCCTGTGTAGGTGGGCAGCGGTGTTGCCTTGGCTGCGAGGGAGAACGACGGCCAGAGGCGGGCGCGGCCGGCTGTTTTTTTTTAGAGTAAAAATCACAAAACAGGAGAACGGTTCTGGGGAAGAAAAGCAGAGGAAAAGGAGTGTGGTGGCTGCTGTCTTGGCTGGGCTATGAGGGCTGGATTCAACAGGGAACAAATGACCCCTGTGTGGCTTCTGGTTTTGGGAGCCGAAAATCCCAATGGCAGGGTGGCGGCCACAAAATGAAAGAGTCGTGGATTTCTTTTTTTTTCTAAAGGCTGGGGGGTCACCAGATGGCTTTTGTGGGTTGGGAAGCTAAGGAAGAAGATCGCCGGAGCCAAGTTGGGGTGCAGCTGCTTTGAAGAATAAAAGCTTGGTTTTTTTTATCTTTCGAGGCAGCTGCAGAGGGAGTAAGTTTTTCGATCAAGGGAGGGGGAGCAGCCTTTCTGGTTACAAGGGTGGCCGCCTCGTTTTGGGAGCAAAA